TTTTTCTTCTTCCTTCCTTTTCTTCTCTCCTTCCTTCCTTCCCTCTCCTTTTTTTGTCTTTCTCTCTTTTCTCCCTCCTCCCTCCTTTCTTCCTTCTTTCTCTTTTGCCTGTTTCACATTTCAGTGTGCAAGGAAATAGTGACTAAAGGCCAATAGGCTTAACAGTCTAAAACATGGGTGTTAAGAATTGAATATACTTAAAAAAAAAAAAAAAAGAAAAGAAAAAAGAATTGAATATACTGATAAAATTTGTTTACAAAAGGAATGCTTATACACTTGGTGGGAGTGTAAATTAGCTCAACTATTGTGGAAAACAGTGTGGCATTTCCTCAAAGACCTAAAATCAGAATTACCATTCAACCGAGCAGTCCCATGACTGGGTATATACTGAAAGGAATATAAATCAGTCTGTCATAAAGACACATGAACACGTATGTTCCTTGCAGCACTGTTCACTGTTACATGCATCCAATAGTACCAAATATTAAGTGCATTTAATAAAGAGATCTTCCAAACAGACTTTGTGTGGGCAACAAGGCTGTTTTATTTCTTGCATGGGTGCAAGTGGACCGAATCCGAGAAAGGACAGGCGAAGGGGTAAGGTAGGAATTGGCTTTATAGGTTGGGGTAGTTTTTTTGGGGGGCAGGAGTGTTGCAGAGTAAGATCAGTTACAGTGGTGGGGGTAGGGGCAAGGAGTATATATGACCACAAGTTCAGTTACAGTGGCGGGTGGGGGTGAGGCAGAAGAGCAGTTAAGATGGCAGGATGGGTGAGAGGTATTCACATTATCTTAAGAACAGTTAAGATGGCAGGGTTGGGTGAGAGGTATTCACATTATCATAAGAACAGTCAAGATGGCAGGGTTGGGTGAGGGGCTTGTCCTAGGAAGCTCTGCTGGGTGATCAGGGACAATGGTGAATGCAGGTGGCAGGTGGGAGACCATCAGCCAAGGCAAGCAGGACTTCAGACTTTCAGGCTCCAGGCTGCATATGGAGACCTGACATTCACAATTAGCAAAGAATCAACCTAAATGCCTGTTAATAGTAAATTGGATAAAGAAAACTGAGTATACTATTGAATGCTATACAGCCATAAAAAATAATGAGAGCATGTCCTATGCAGGGACATGGATGGAGCTAGAGGCCATTATTCTGCTGCTCTGTTTATGTGTGTGTATGTGTGTATATATATATATGTTTATATATATAAATGTATATATATATGTTTATATATATAAATGTATATATATATATAAACATATATATATATATATATATATATATATATATATATGTTCATATGTATAAATATGTAAACCACCAGGGTCTATGTGCCCAGTTCCTGAACATTGCACCGATGAATTTTACCTAACATTTAGATGGCAAATGAATCTTACTATAACCACTCAGAACCACTGTGTGTCTGGTACATCTTGTGGCACCCATCTTTGGTTCAGAGGGATGGAGGCAGAGGTCATAGAGCAGTAAGCTCAAGCAGTGATATGACAGGGCTTTCAGAATTGGAGACTAGAAGGGCTTACCTTATTTGCATGCTATTTAAAGATAAGTTTTTGCAAATGATATACCCTATTAAACACTTCCATGCATAACTCAGTGGAGATTTATTTGCAATAGTAGGATCAGGGGATTTGAAATCTTTAATGTGTGTGGTAGCAGGAGCAGTACTGGGTTCCAGCACTTAATAAGAGAACCCATGGCTTTATGACAATGTCTAAAGATGTAATTTTGGTTAAAGTTATACTTTACCTTTGGTTGTACAGTTGTTTCTTTTAGTTTCAATAAAATCTAAAACAGGAAATGTCAATTGGCATGGTCTAGGTAGAAAAAAAATGAGACTCATACTGAGAGTGGGACCTAACGCTTTGCTATTCAGGAAGTAATGAAGAAAGAAGGCTCATCACTTCAATGAGCTCTGTGAGACCTTGAATGGGCTTATAGGTACATACTTATAGTTAAAATATGTATCTCCCGTTTTAGTATCGTATAGAATACTGTCACATTTTTCTCATTAAATCTACATTTCTACTGTCTTTCTTGATTAATTTTGCCAATAAAAGTTCCTTACCTTTTTATAAAATTCCAAGATTTACATTCATTTTTCTGTAGCAAATTTTGTCTTATAGGAAAAATTAGACACCCTAGGATGATAAAACCTTCTTCAAAGGAGACTTTACCATTAATTTTTGGAGGCAGCTGAGTGGGAGTTACTAATAATCTTAGATTATATTAACCTAATCAGGATTGAGATGATTTCAAATTGACTTGTGTCCCTGTGAAGACTGGGATATTTCTGGAACATTTTTATTCTTTGGGTACAACAAGATTTTACCCATCCCAAATTCTGTGGTGTTTACTAGGTTGCCTACAACTTGACAAGCTTTAAACTCTTAACTTTTTCCTCCCTCAGTTTCATGATTCTAACTCAAATGTCTGGTCAGATACTCAACCATCTCTTCCAAATTGTCAGGTCCCCCAAAGAGCCACACTGATATGGTTTGGGTCTGGGTCTCCAAAATGAGCTTTGACTCCATGTCTCACATCCAGGTCACACTGATGCCAGAGGTGGGTTCCCATGACCTGTGGTTTTGCAGGGTACGGCTCCCCTCCTGGCTGCTTTCACAGATGACATGGAGTGTCTGCCACTTTTCTAGGAGCATGGTATAAGCTGTTGGTGGATTTACGATTCTGGCATCTGGAGGATGGTGGCTCTCTTCTCACTGCTACATTAGACAGTGTCTCTGGGGGGACTTTCTGTGGGGGCTGCCACCCTGCATTTCCCTTCTGTACTGCCCTAGCAGAGGTTCTCCATGAGGGCTCCATCCCTGCAGCAAACATCTATCTGGACATTGAGGAATTCCATACACCCTGTGAAATCTAGATGGAGGTCCCCAAACCTCAATTCTTCACTTCTGTGCACCTGCAAGCCCAATAGCATGTGTAAGCCACCAAGGTTTGGGGCTTGCACTATCTGAATCTACAGTCTGAACTATAACTTGACCCCTTTTAGCCACAGCTGGGACACAGGGCACCAAGCCCCAAGACTGCACAAAGTGGGAAGGCCTGGGATTCAGGCCATGAAGCCATTTTTTCCTTCTAGGCCTCTGGGCCTGTGATGGGAGGCTGTGCTGTGAAGACCTCTGGCATGCTCTGGAGACATTTTCCCCATTGTCCTGGTGATTAACATTTGCCTCCCTGTTACTTATGCAAATTTCTGTGGCTGGCTTGAATTTATCTTCAGAAAATGAGGTTTTATTTTGTATCACATCACCAGACTGCAAATTTTCTGAACTTTTATTCTCTGCTTCCCTTTTGAACCTAAGTTCCAATTCCAAACCATATTTCTGTGAATGACTAAAACTGAATGCTTTTAAGAGTACCCGAGCCACATCTTGAATGCTTTGCTGCTAAGAAATTTCTTCTACTAGAAGAAATCACTCCTTAAATCATCTCTTTCAAGTTCAAAGTTCCACAGATCTCTAGGGCAGGGGCAAAATGCCACCAGTCTCTGCTAAAGTGTAGCAAGAATGAGCTTTGCCTCAGTGTCCAGTAAGTTCCTCATCTCCATCTGAGACCACTTTAGCCTAGAAATCACTGGCATATCACTATCGGCATTTTAGGCAAAGCCATTCAACAAGTCTCTATGAACTTCCAAACTTTCCCACAGTTTCCCATCTTCTTCTGAGCCCTCTTTTCAACTTTTGCCTGTTACCCAGTTCCAAAGTTGCTTCCACATTTTCAGGTACATTTAAAGCAGCACCCCACTCTGTGATGCCAATTCACTGTATTAGTCAATTTTCATACTGCTATGAAGAAATACCCAAGAATGGGTAATTTATAAAGAAACAGGTTTTAATGGACTCAGACTTCTACATTGATAAGGTGGCCTCATAATCATGGCGGAAGGTGAAGGAGGTGCAAAGGCACATCTTACATGGCAGCAGGCAAGAGGGAGCATGTGCAGGGAAACTTTACTTTATAAAACTGTCAGATATTGTAAGACTTATTCACTGTCACTATAACAGCATTGGGAAAACCCTCCTCCATTATTCAATTACCTCCCACTGGTTCCCTCCCTGGACATGTGGGGATTATAGGAGCTAAAGTTCAAGATGAGATTTGGCCAGAGATCCCTTATTACCCCTACACACAACTGCCTCTGCTCCATTCTTTAGTTTTTGGTGCCTTTGGCCATTCCTGTGCCCAACATCTTGTTCTTTAACAGGACAGGGTAGATGGTGACTTGGGCACCTGAAGCCAACAGAGCCATAAGCTTGAGCCCCTCACTCCCTGAAGTTCTCTGACCTACTCACACAGGTGTGCATAACCCTCCTCCCATTTAAGGACAGAGAGATTTCAGTTGCATCTCTAATGATCTTTCTCCAAAAGCAGCTGAGGTTGAGGCAAAAGGGAAGGGATGGGCTAAAAGGGGGCAAAAAGAAAAGAAATTGGCTACATCCATTTTTAGTTTTGAATGGCTGGCTTGGATTCAACAAACACATTTCAAATGTTTTTGTTCACCTGAAGCTGTCTATCAGCTATCAAGGTTCTTATTGCTGACACCATGTATGTTAATTTTAGGGATTCTTTACTCAGTGGCCACAACCACATTGCTTTTCTGTTGGGCTGTGGGGCTTGCTGCTACATTGTCATGAGAACATCCCTTCCTGTTCCTGCCCAGAGGAGACTGAGTCACATGAGTAAAAACCACAGAATCCTTTGGGTGGCTTATTTCAATCATACCTTTGGCCACTGAGACTCATTAACAGGTAGGTCAGTGGGGGGCCCTTAATTCCTTCACTCTCACCCCCACTGCACCTTCTGGAGAAAGCACAGCCCTGAAAACACCTTGACTTCAGGTTGTACAAATCTGTCCTCTTATAATTGTGAAAGAATAAATTATTTTAATCCATCAAGTTCATAACAAATTACCACAAACTTAGTGGCTTAAAACTACAGAAATCTACTCTTACAGCACAGTTTTGGAGACCAGAGTCTAAAATAAAAATGTAACCAGGGTTGTTTTTTTCCGGAGATTTTGTGGAGAACCTATTCCACGCTGCTCTCCTAGTTTCTGGTGGCTTCTGGCAATCTTGGCAATCCCTGGTTGTAGATGTATCTCTCAAATCTCTGCCTCCATCTCCACACAGTCTTTCTTTCTGGGTCTCTCCTCTGTGTTTCTTCTTTAGTTATAAGGACACTCGTTACTGGATTTAGAGCTCACCCAGTTAGTGCCGGATGATCTTGTCTCCTGAATCTTGATTTAATTACACCTGCAGAGCATCTTTGTCCAAATAAAGTCACATTTACAGGAATACAGGGTGAGGATAGTACCTGCACTTAGGGTCAGGCACAGTTAAACCCACTACAACCTTGTTCAGATCATCCCATTTCAGAGAGAGATCTGGAGTATAATGGGATAGTGGGTTAGCTCTGTAACTGGGAATTGGAGGAGTGAGTGGTGATACATCCAGGCCTAAGCTGAATTTTCTATCTACCTGGTCTTTAGAGCTAAGACAAGAGAAAATCAGAAAAAGGTATTTGCCACATTCTGAAATGCTTATAATATTTCTTAAGTGATCAAAGGTGGGTGTACTTTAGATGCAGGAATGGCCATAGTGGTGTCTGGTTCTGATGAACCAGCTCAGTTAGGAGAAAGTACAATAAGCTATATTTCAAGACATAAGCCCCAGTCTTTCCAAGGTATCAGCCCCAAAGAAAAACTCAGTGTCATAGGTAATCACACCAGGGTTGGGAACTATTTTCTGGAAACTTCTTTGAGTGTACATATGGACATACTCTGGACTTTCTGCTTCTTTAGCCTTAACACGTTCCTGACATTTCTCTGCTCGCTGATCCTGAGGAATCACAACACAAGCATCAGTTTGTTTTTTTTCTCCATTTTGATGGCCAATAATATGTATCAACTCACTAAGTGGCACAGGAGCAATTTCATTATAAAGTTCCATAGGTACTTGTTGTCCATTTTCCTTCAGTTTCAGTACAGCATAGTCAAGCTCTTCATTATATATCTCATACCAAGGTTCAATGGAAAAGCAGTTCATTTCCTTTTCTTGTGGCTCTTCATAATGAAATGTCACCCTTACACATTGACCAGTTATGTCTGCCCACTTACTTGGCTCTATTCCTTTTCCCACAATGAGATTTACTACATGCTGACAAGTTAAAATGAACAATCCTTTAAAAACAAAGCAGGTGGCACAACCTGCAGTTGCACTGTCCCAGAATAAGTACCCAACTGAGTCACTGAGATGTCCAAGAAGTTTCAGTACTTTAACAGAATAAGAGTTTTTTGTTACTTTTCCAAAGTTTTTAATATCCAATTGAAATAACGTTTTCCCATTTTTTCCTTTCATTTTTTTCTTGAAGTTTTCCCTGATTTTTTCACTTTCTCTTTTCAAATGGGGGTACTGAGACATGATTTGTTCTCTCAACACACAGGTGTTTCTTTTCTCTGACTCAGGATTCTGAGGACCTGCTTCACTGGGGCCCATTCTGTTCTCAGTCTCAACCTGGAAGAGTTTGCCTTCTAATTCATCAACTAGCTGGGTGTTTTCTAAAATGGAGTCATGGTTTTCAATGAGTTTCCAATCATCATTCTCCAGAATGGAACGAAATCTGCCATCCTTGCACAGAGCATCCTTGATGGTTTCTCCTTTGAAAGCATAGACGCAGAGTTTGTACCCCTTTTTGTGAAGCTTCCCACATTTAACAATTTTTCTTTTATACTTCCCAATTCCAATTGCATGAATGTAGAATTTGACGCATTCAGTCGATGCCTTGTCATACCGGCCAAATACTTGGTTATTTTCTTTCTGCTTACTTTTACTTTTGTAAAAGGTAATGACCACATGGCATCTTTCAGGAAAACAAGTGAGTGGCATTCCAAGGTTTATGTACCCTTCGATTCCTTCTGCACCACACACAAGCATTTCTTGGCCTTGGTGAGTTTCTAACTCTTTTCTGACAGCCTGGAGAGTGTTGAGAGCTGTATATAAGCTACCATTCTCACTATGTGTGAGCCCATGTTTCATTTGTTGGTTTTTCTTGTGGTTTACCTCCAGGGTAACATATATTATCTTATTTTGGGGCATGACCTGGTCTTCTGGATTTTTCTTAGGTGAATGGAATCTTTGAGCCTGGGTATTAGTTATTTCACTTGGGCTGCCTCTAGACACCATCTTCGTTTGAGAAGTACTGGGATTAGTCTTTTGCTTTTTAGAGACCTAAAAATGAATGTTAGATACTTTAAAACTCTGGCTGCAACCTTAGTCTTTTTTTTTTTTTTTTTCTATTTTCAAGCATACGATTCACAAAATTCCTATGAGAAACTCAGAACCAATCTAAGAGGGCCAGTGAATAGAATTAAGTCAGTGTTTGACTTGGGATCCAAAATGAAAGCTGAGCTTCCTATAACATCTGTCAGATAAAGTCTTGATACAACTACACTAGTGCATTTTTTTTTCCTGAAAAATATGAGAGAAGGGGCCGGGTGCGGTGGCTGACGCCTATAATCCCAGCACTCCGGGAGGCCGAGGCGGGTGGATCATGAGGTCAAGAGATCGAAGACCATCCTGGTCAACATGGTGAAACCCTGTCTCTACTAAAAATACAAAAAATTAGCTGGGCATCTTGGCACGTGCCTGTAATCCCAGCTACTCAGGAGGCTGAGGCAGGAGAATTGCCTGAACCCAGGAGGCAGAGGTTGCAGTGAGCCGAGATTGTCCCATTGCACTCCAGCCTGGGTAACGAGTGAAAGTCCGTCTCAAAAAAAAAAAAAAAAAATGAGAGAAGAAACAAGTTTTTCCCAGTTGCATCAAAACCACAGATTCTTAAAAGTCCGCTAGTGGCTGGACATGGTGGCTCATGCCTGTAATCCCAGCACTTTGGGAGGCTGAGGCAGGTAGGATCACCTGAGGTCAGGAGTTCAAGATCAGCCTGACCAACATAGTGAAACCCTGTCTCTATTAAAAATACAAAAATTAGCGGGATGTGGTGGCACATGCCTGTAATCCCAGCTACTGAGGCTGAGGCTGGAGAATCACTTGAACCCGAGAGGTGGAGGTTGCAGTGAGCCGAGATCATGCCATCACACTCCAGCCTGGGCAACAAAAGCAAAACTCCAGTCTCAAAAAAAGAACGAAGTCCACTAGTATCTGAAATAGTGTTAATTCAGGTCTTGTTTATTATCTTCAGCTATATAATTTTTATATTTTCTGAGGACAATTATGAAATACAGCCAAAAATTTGTTCTTGAAATACTGACTTCAGCAGTAAGCTACCTGCAATTTATTATAGGCAATATGTATTAAACAAAATCATCATTATTTAGCTAATCATTTGGTTGAAATATAGTTATTTGTAATAATCAATACTTCTATTCACCCAGCATATATCATGAAAACCTCAAATTATTTCTCTATTACATCAACTAATCCCAAAATTTCATAAAATAAAGAGGAACAAACATGATGGTTCTGTCCTTTTGATGGAGAAACTAAGATACAGAAAGTTTTTCTTATAAGTGTCTTTTCTAGGACCACATAATAATCAATAAATAAAGTATCAAAATTGCAATTTCTAGTGCAATTATTTTTTCAGTTGGACTAGTGTATATATTCTTTTTTGGAAACTTTGTATTTACTGTCATTTTTGCAGGGCATTATCACAAGAAACGGGATGGAGGCGGGGAGAGGAATTAAATAAAGATGATAAATCAAATAGAAGAAACACGATGAAAAATGAGAGTGTCTGTTTTCTATGTCTAAAAGACACATTTTCCCCAAGTCATATTCATCATGGCATGGGTACCAGCAGATGTGGGTTCATATGCCAGCCACACCCCTTACTACCAATGGGAATAACAATACCAGAAATATTGTAAAGATTAAGTGTAGCATTATTGTATGACAATACCTAGCACAATGACTAGCACATAATATATTAACATTTGTTTTCTTTCTTCATACTAATATTCCAGATTAAAAAAAATGAATAAATGGAACTTAATGTAATACAGATTTACCCTGGGCATACATATAAACTCTCATAGAGCATCCCTTCAGCCTAATGCTGTCAGAAACATTTTTGTCATGTACTCCATTGGAGTACTGTAATAAACTTCCTATTTATTTAAATGATTCTTGGGCAGATATAGACCCCTCTGAAAGGGGAAGAGGAATAGAATATAGTAATTAGCTCTGTCATGAAGTAGGGCAGAGAAAAACATAACCAAGTTTGCCTTAGACTTTCTAGATACTCGGATATTCTAGTTTTCCAGAATCAGGACAAAAGAAAACAAGTTGAGAAACCGTAAGCTTCACACTCAAATGTTTACCATTCCTCTACTTTTTTTCTTGATAAATTCAAGGAGCATTTTAGACTTAGGGAAAGATACAATGGTTTGATATGATAACAGAGCCCAATCAGTAGAAAAAGGCCCAACTACATGTCATTAAACTTAACTCCAAGTCTTCACTTCATTCCTGCCTCAAGCAACGACTCACTTTCCCTCTCTCCTCCAATAAGCAAGTTGAAGATTTGTCAGAATCCTTCCTAACTGCCTAATGAGGTTATGGCAAGAACAAATACATAAAACATTGTTTTATAAACTGTATTCAAATGTAGCTCATAATTATGATTGAAGAGATCAGCCATATTTGGAATGGTATATGTTTTCATGCTATGAAATAGTATTAATTTTGGTTTATTACATAGTTTACTGTAACATATTGTATGGAATTTTTTTTTGTTGCTCAAGGAATATTATAATAGTTTTTTATTAAAGACTGTTTGGGCTGGGTGCAGTGGCTCACGCCTATAATCCTAGCACTTTAGGAGGCCAAGGCAGGCAGATCACCTGAGATCAGGAGTTTGAGACCAACCTGACCAACATGATGAACCCCATCTTACTAAAAATACAAAACATTACCCAGGTGTGGTGGTGCATGCCCATAATCCCAGCTACTCCAGAGGCTGAGGCAGGAGAAGTGCTTGAACCAGGGAGGCAGAGGTTATGGTGAGCCGAGATCCCACCATTGCACTCCAGCCTAGGCAACAAGAGCAAAACTCCATCTCAAAAAAAAAAAAAAGACTGCTTTGATATAGCTAAGATTTGTATTACAACTTCTTTCCCCATGCTACCCCCAAAATAGAGAGGATAAAATAAGTAAGAATGATTTTATCTTATTTAATATTCCCAACACACAAGGTAATTTTTTGGGAAGAGTAACTATAAATCCCAATGCCAAGGGTAGCAGGTAATATTGGTAAACAGTCAGGCTTCAGTACCCATGGGATCTGTATCTACGGGTTCAACCAACCACAGATTGAAAATTTTTTTGGGGAAAAAAGTTAGTGTGCCTGAACTAAACATGTATAGACTTTTTCTTGTCATCATTCAATAAGCAATATAGTATACCAACAATTTACATAGCATTTATCTTTCATTAGGTAATCTAGAGATAATTTAAAGTATACAGGAGCATATGATACATTATATGGCAATACTATGCCATGTTATATGAAGGACTTGAGGCTTCATGGATTTTGGTATCTAATGAGTTCCTGGATGAAATCCCACATGGATACAAAGAAATGACTGTATAGTATGAGTAAAATTTACAGACAAACCGGAGAAAAATAGTGCTTGATTTTCATATTAGATTTTTCTTTGACTGAGTCTTCTTCCCGTGATCTCTTCTTCTTACAGCTCATGATGGCTTGAAGATGAATGGATAGTTCAGCTGAAACACTAATTTCAAATTTTCAAGTTATAGTAGTATCTTCAAAGTTGTCATTAATTGTACAGAGGAAAATATAAGCTGATGTCCTATGTCCCACCTTTCCCCTTGAGCTCCAGCCTTGCTCTCTCTGGAGATGTTACCTTAGCAAATAGATAGTTTATTCACCAACTATAATCACCCCAACAATAAAAGCTCTCTTTTCCAGAACACTGCATGTCAGGCACTTTATGCAAATTATACCAAATACTTCATGAAATTTATCTCTAGTTGTATCTAAATTCTTATAGATACCAGGCAAATTAGATATATCTACACTTTGCTGATGGGGAAAGTATAGCTTAGAGAAGGTGGATGAGCTGCCCAAGGCCAGAGTTATGTGGCGGAGATGGAATTCAAGTGCAGGTATAAATACCTTACAGAATAATTTTCAGTTGGAAATTTCAAAAAGGTGTTCTAATTACATTGATGTTAAAATCTGGTCTTCATTTAAGATGAAGATGGCAAAGGAAGATAAAATTACAAGGAAGTGGTAAGGAAAGAGCTGATGAAAGAAATTTGGAATGAGATTTTAAAAAGGAATCTGGAAAGTTTGCCCAGGATGATGGAAACCTTAGTTGCTGCTTTAGGTTTTTTTCTTTAAAGAGTATTTTCCTTCTATCTTTCCTCTGACGTCTCCCTAAAAAATAAAATAGTGACATCATCAATAGTAATAAATACCACTAGAAGGATAAATACCATTGACAGCAGCAGCCATGTCGGTCCTTAGAACCTCAATGTCTAAAACAATGTCTGGCACATGTTAGGCCCTTGAAAAAGATACGTTTCTAAAGACATATTCAATTAAAAAATGGAGTAGGCATATGGTGTACTTTGCCCTGTTCTAAGTGCTTTTCATCAACTACCTTGTAATTCTTACAACTCTAGGAGATAGGTATTATTCATTCATTTAACTGGTAAAAAGCTCAAATACCCAGGGAGCTTAAACTTTACTCAATGTCATGAAACTGAGAGAATATACTTTCAAGATTTTTTTATTATGAAGAATTTATTACAGAAAAAAATAGAATGGTATAATGAACCTCCACATACCTATCACATAGAGTTAATAATTGTTCATTTTTTTTGCCAACTTATATAACAGTGAAACAGTAAAAGAACTAACATAAATATATTTTTGTTCAAGGGTCCTTTAACTATTTATGCATAGAGGCTAGGTTAATTTTAGAGCAGTGAGATAACATGAAAAAACAGCACTCACGTAGTTTTAAAAACTAACTCTGGGATTAAAGGGAACGTATGTAAACAACTATGCATTGTTAAAGATTTATAGGAGCATTGTGACCTGTAGAATAAATATAATCTTTAGATGACTTCCATTTGAAAAGAAATACAGGGACTAGAATATAAGTTAACCAACAGCACATAGAAGCAGCCCAGGAAATTGACATTCTGTAGAGACGATTTATCTGTTCTCTTCAACAATCAATGCTTGGGCTCATTGGAACATCAGGGGACAAAGACATTCCCAACCTTCTTTGACCCATGATGATGCTCAGATGTCTGCAGTCAATGGTCACCTCTTGATTGTAACTTCCTTCTCTTTCCTGTTCCTTTCACATAAAGAGCCTGAATCTTGTACTCATTTAAGAGAGTACTTTGGGATGCTAGACTGCCATATTCTCAGTTTGCTGGCTCGCTCTCTGAAGAAACATGCTTTTCATCCCGCCGTCATCTTTCATGTTTGGCTTTGAGGTGTGAGTTGCTGGACCTGGGTTTGGCTACCCTTACACCATCCTTTTATTTTACTAGACTATTTCTGTTACAGCTAGAGACATCATGACATTTAAACTCTAGTGGTCACTTCCTATCTCAAAAAATTAAGTACTTTTTCTTATATAATCACAATACTGTTTTTTTCACACTAAGATTCAACTGAGGTATCAGTTTCCTTTATATGTCTCATAAGGCTCTTTTATTCTAGAAAAAGCATTGATTTGTTGAAGAGAACAGAGTATTTGTCTCTATAGAGCTTTTGACCTTCTGGGTTACTTCCTCATGTCATTGTTGAACTTATGTTCTAGTCCATGTATTTCTTGTCAAATGGCAGTTACCTAAAGGCTATGTTTACTCGTGTAACTGTTCCACTATGGAGCAAGAGTCCTGGCTTTCTAGTTTACTGTCAATGAATGATTAAGGAAATTCATTTAGCCTTTCTGGGCTTCCGTTTCTTGTCTGTAAAACGAAGCAATGATTCCATACAAGATAAGGAATACGGACGTGCTAAAACGATATTAGAACTTATAAGACTGTATGAGTTCAAATATCAGGCAGCCACTTATTAGCTGCATGATGTTGGAATTAACTATTCTTCCTTCATTTTTCTCACCGTAAGATGGGAATCAATCTTGTTGTGAAGATTAGAAATACAACGTGGGCTAGGCACGGTGGTTTATGCCCATAATCCCAGAACTTTGGGAGGCCAAGGCTGATGGATCACTTGAGGTCAAGAGTTTGAGACCAGCTTGGCCAACTTGGTGAAAACTTGTCTCTATTAAGGATATAAAAATTAGTGGAGCATGGTGGGTGCCTGCAATTCCAGCTACTTGGGAGGCTGAGGCAGGAGAATGGCTTGAACCTGGGAGGCAGAGGTTGCAGTGAGCCAAGATCACACCACTGCAATCCAGCTTGATTAACAGAGTGAGACTCCGGTTCTCTCTCTCTTCATACATATATGACATACCAGTGTTTTAAATGTTTGTGATAGGTTGCCCAGTAAATAAACTAGCAAAATAAAAAGGTGATGTAAATGTTATCAGTATCAATACGCTTACCACAGGGGTACTCTTGAAATAGCAGAGAACCTAGGAAAACAAAAGTAGAAAGTATATAATTGCAGAACTGGGCTATGTTGCAAGATCCTTAAATGCAGAAACTTGTTGCCCAACTATTAGGAAAATCTGGGGATTCACTGTGTCTGTTAATGATGTCTCATCTTATGATGTTCGAGAGAGGATCCAGGTGCTTTAGGAGTGATTAATATACACAGACTAAAAAAGGAACATCAAACGGGCAGAAGGAAACATGAATTTTGCATGCACTTGAGCAATCACTGGTGGAAAGGGGCAAGAGGTTAAGAAAACACTCCAGTATCCTTCCTCTCCCTACATTGTTTTCAGAATCCAGGATGAATCAGGCTACTTCAAAATATACAGTGCCATTAGCTATCTTATTCCAACCCCTGTTTCATACTTGAGGTCAAGGTTCTACTTACCTAAAGAACTTGGTTGAGTTCGTACAGAAAAGGGATAAAGCAGCACAGCCTGTCCCGTCCCGGGGCCCATGTCCAGCCCACCTGACAGCTCCCCTTAGGAATTCCTCTGTCTCTCAATCTCTCCTTCCTTTCCTCTCTCCTCCCCCATCTCTCTCTCCTCCCCTACCTCTCTCTCCTCCCCTCCTTCACTCTCCTTTTTTTCCTGCTTCTCCCCACCCCAAGCCCACCTTTCTGCCTTTCCAGGGGCAGGGGCAGGGGTTGAAGCCAACTCTAAGCCTCTTTCAATCCCACCATGCCTGCCTCGGTTCCCTGGCACATATGGGGATTTGCAGCACCACTGAAATGAAACCTGTGTCCTCCAGGCTTCCCAGATGGGCGGTGCTGTCAGTCCCTGGCTTTGGAGCACCAAGCTCCTTCCCCTCCCAGCCTGGACTCTAGCCTGCTGCAGCCCAGCGCCCTACACCCCTCGGAGCACCCCAGCGCCCTGTGTGCTGGCTCACTGTGTGACTTGCCAGCATTTGGCCTGGAATCCAGCGCTTAAAGCAGGTCCCACTCTTATTTGAAGAAACAAATGCTCCAGAGCTCCAGAGGAGCAGGTGGGACTAGGGATTTGAATTGCCTGCCTTTTGGGAAAGGTTCTCTGCGAACCAATTACTTTCTTTCACTTTTAATTCAGCCATGCCTCTTCCAGCCTAAACTTCACATGCACCTCTCCCCTTCTCCCTCTCTCCTTTCTTTTGCTTCTATGGACCCCTGGAAAGGCAGGGACACCCAGAATGCAGGTTCTTTAACAGCAGGCTGCCTTGCAAAACTCCTCCAATATTCTTTGATCATCAACTTTGTTAGGTGCTGGGAATACTCTGAACCCCTCTGTGGTGACTGAGCAACCCCAAGCTTCTGGAAGAACTGGCAAAATCCAAGCTATCTGAAATAACAAGAAGAGATTATTGTTGATTTTTAACCTGTAAATTCTCTTAGAATTTGGTTTCCCCGAAATGAGTTATTTGCTTTGTGCTGCTTGTTACTTACTGTATTGATTGTATTTGAGAAAATGAAGGGTAATGTGAAATGCTGAGATGTGACTTATAGCTTTGGCTCTGCTGAGCTGCAACTTGTAACTTTAGCTCTGCAGAACTGTTACGGTAAAAACAGGAACTCTGAAAGGGACTAACCACACAGCTTGACTGTCTGAGAGAGATGACAGCGTGTAGTAGGCTTCCCGTTGCAGAGAGCCTATAAACAGATGTGTAATAGACAGGCTCATTACCCAGCTTCCTTTCCCAGGAAAGGCATATTGATTAGGGCCCTGGAAAGGGAATACGACCCTTATGGAGAGCCTATAACGGACACATGAGGGGTGTCTGTCTCTGTGGTTGAGACAAGGATGTAAACGTCTTTCTTCTCTCACTGCTCCTCCAGGCCTGCATGGAGTCCCCCTCCTCTTGTGGTTTTTGTGGTCAGGCTGGTTGTCCTGTGTCAGATCCTGTTCCCCCTGTAGCTGTGGGCCCAATATGTTTTTGCTGATAATCGTAAGTTCATGTTTAACCTATATTCTTGCTAAGGTGTATGATTTCTATGCTGACACACAGAAAGTTATCTTTACATTGTTCTGCTTTTATAATACCACGTTGTGAATTTTGTGCACCAGTTTTTGCAAATGTATTCTTTTTGTATAATTATCGCTGAAACTTTGTGTAACC